CTCAGACAGGTCTAGGGAAAGGTTGATTCTTAATTTTGTCTTAAAAAAGCGGTATGGAAATTGATGTCTGTATCAACCAAGATTTGAGTGACATAGTTCATATACCCCAAGACCTCATTTTAATATAGCCACAGCTATTCTAATATAGCTACACTCCTCTTCAAAGGGCATATAAACTGTGAGCCCTTGCTATGAGGGTGTATTTGGTCTAATGAGAAATGGCCAAAGGACCATCTTTTAATTAATAACATGCTGACTTTATTAATAAAATGATTAAATTACCCAGAAACTATGTCTCCCAAATTTTTCAATTGTCACACTCCCAAAGTTTACTTCCAGTTTCACCTCTTGCATGAGGTCTTTTCTGATCCCCTGAATTGCTACTACTCCCAAACATTACACTGTTTATATCTTATATTTATCTATATGTGTCCAAATGTTTCCCAATAAATCATAAGCATCTTGAGGACAGGGAATGTTTTGCTTTTCTCCCTATATCCTTAGTACCAAGCACAGTGCCTGGAACATTGAAGGAATTAATAAATACTTATTGGATTTAACTGAATTGATAGATACTATAAACAGACAATGAGTTGAACCCAGAATGAAATAAGGCAAAGGAAATAGGTTAGACTGCCCTTAGAAAGTTGCAAAGCTCTTTTGACAATCCCAAATGTTTCCCTGAAAGCAAAAGCTCATTTTAAAATATCATTATTTTACCACTGATGCTGTATGGCTATGGGTCAAGGACATTCTAAAGAGTTAAAAATGGGGACACTCAGAGGACAATGGAGAGGTATGTGGTGGTTGGAAAGAGGCTACAGCACATTAAAACCGTGACCTATGCTTGAGGGTTAGAATACCAGTATTTAAACCCTGCACAGTCTGACCTTATCCTGACCTGGCTGATTGTAATAAGTTTTCATTGCCCTTCACAAACTCTACAATTCAGCCCACCTGGCCCTCTTGCTATTGCACACTCATAATATTCCATTTCTAATCACCTTGCCTTTGTACAAGCTATCTCCCATGTCTGGAATAGAAGCCCACCTCAACTCCACCTCTCAGAATTCCTGGCTTCCTTCAAAGTCCTCAGGAACTGACCGATATCAATGACATCAACAACAACGAAATATACATATGTGTGTGTGTGTGTGTGTGTGTGTGTGTGTGTGTATCCTAAAGCCTCACAAAATAAATCAGCTAATCAGCTGTTCGAAGAGCATTTATTAAGTGCTTACTATATCGTAGGCATTATGCTAGGAGCAGCATTTAGCCTAGTGCCTGGCATATAGTAGACACTTCTTAAATGTTTGTTGACTGACTCAGTTGGGAATACAAATACAAAAGAAAGATGGTCCCTGCCCTCAAGAAACTTACAATCTATTCATCCATATACAAAACATGGACAAGCATCAAGACTATGTAATGCCACCATATTGTGGACCATCAAATTAGATCAGCGGGCTCCATCCCTTTGTAGCTCCAGTTCTTACAGGTCTCATCCCACCAGCATGATTCTAAGGGCTAGGGATTGAAGAGAGGGGTAAAATGAACAAATAGCCCAGAAAAGTAGTCCGCAGAACAGTTGACTGTAATGTGAGAGGTCCTTCATCAAGACGAAGGCTGGCCACCTGTCTTTGTCATGGCAGCCCTTAAAATAGTTCTTTAATTTGTCATAGACAAGGATGAGTTACTGTCTATTACTTCATTCTTTCCCAATGAAGAAGCAGCACTCTGCTGTGCAAGTTAGTACATTCTTTTGACTATAAGAAGCAGCCAAGTTGGTACTAGATAAAACTGTGGAGCGGCTACTCTATGTTAACTGCTTTCACTGCCTTCTTCCTTAGATCCCTCAGCTTCAAGCGCCTGAATCTCCCAATCTTCCAAGCATATGTACAGCTGCCTCTTGCTAATCCTGTAATCCAGATCATTTCCTTCCCTCCATCACAGTGTACCTATTTTCACTCCAATATACTGTTAGAGGAGCTATGAATTAGCACAGCCATTCTGAAATGCAATTTGGAACTATACCCTACACACTGCTAAATTGTGTAAACCCTTTGACCTGGCAACACCCACAACAGAGAGTAAAGACAGAGAAAGGATCCATAACTACCAAAATATTTGTATCAGCTCTTTTTTGTTGCAGTAAAGAATGGGAAAATAAGGAGGGGCTAGTCAATTCAGGAATGGCTGAATTAATTATAGTACATGAATGTAATTGTATGTTACTTTGCCATAAGAAATAACCATGAAACGCGGGAAGACTTAACTGATATGGAGTAATGAAAATATTTTATATAATGATTATAATATCGTGAAGAAAAACAAATTTGAAAAACAAGGGCCGTGATCAATGCAATGACCAGCTCCAGCAGACTGCTGGTGAATCATGATTCACACCTATTAGCAAAAAGGTGATGGATTAGAGGCTCAAAAAAAGACATGCGATTTCTGAAACAGCCAATACATGGATAGGGTTTTGCTTGAATGCTATTTGTTACGAAAAGGGCTTTGGGGTAGAAGTGAGGGCAGTAGGGAGAATGGAATGGAATGATAGAGATGCAAAAGCAGAATCAAAAAAGAAAAATGTCAATGAAACATTTAAAATATGCATTAGAAATTAGGAGAGAATTCAAATGTAGAAACACATAAGCAGGAAAATATTGGTAATATTGGCTCTTTCCTTACCAGCTACCTTGCCTCTTCTCCCACCCCATCCAGTTTTCAGCTCTGGAACCATAATTAAGTCAAAATGATCACTATTACTAGAAAGGGTATGTCATTCCAATCACCTAAAGTTCCACTCACTAACCCGTGAACTTTCCCAAGCCAAAATATCTAGCCCTGACCACAACTGCCCTTAATGTCTTATCCTCCCCTTCCCCCTGCCATTATATTGTAATCTCCTCAAAGGAAAAGGACTTTCTTCACTTCTGTAACTGTATAACCATAACTTAGCAGAGTGTCAGTACAGAGCAAATGCTTAATCTCTGTCTTTCTACTTAATCACACTTTTAAAAACAAATTATGTACTAGAGGTTCATGGTTTCATATGCAGTCACCTTGTCATACTCTTCTTTGTATACAGAAGTACACATGTTGATGTTTGTACAAATTGTACAAATTGTAATAAGAGAAAGAAAATTACCTAAGCTGCACCACTTCCTCAGTGTCCTTCTCATCACTAGCTGATTGGATAAATTAATTCAGGTCACCTTTACATAAATTCAGTGATGTTGCTCTCCCGTGTTTCCCCTCTGGTGAACTGTGTTTGCGTTTTAACGAGGACATTCAATGTCTTTAGGGAGTGACTAATGAGTTCAGTTCCAAGAACTTAGAACAAGTTGGTGGAAGAAATATAGAAGGACTCTATAGACTGAAGTATATGGGAACAGTCTTAGGTAGCTATGAGTCAGAATATGCCTGGGGGAAATCTTTCATAAGCTGCCCCAAATGTGAGTGAGGACTTCTGGATGACCAGTTTTCATCCAGGATGATAGGATCTGTTTTCTGTTGTTTACCCAAGAAAACCAGCTGTCCTCAAGGGTCAGATGCATTGAAATTTGCATCATAGTGATTTTTATAACTGTAACTTCCTCCTAGAATGGCAAACTCCCTGAAAGTGAGACCTTTAATCTCACTATTAGTTTATTCTACCATGAGAGAGAGACAGGGTCATGGCCAAACTTGTCTTCCCCTCTCAAAACATAGTATGTATCAGGGGTGGGGAATCTATGGCCTCAAGGCCACATGGGGCCCTCTAGGTCCTCGTGTGCAGCCTTTTGACTAAGTCCAAGTTTTACCGAACAAATCCTTTTATTAAGCGGATTTGTTCTGTGAAGTTTGGGATTCAGTCAAAGGGCCGCACTTGAGGACCTAGAGGCCCACATGTGGCCTCTAGGCTGCAGGTTCCCCACCCCTCGTATGGGTACACTGTACATCAAACACACATAATAAATGTTGAATTTGAGTTGAATTCATATGAATTTGAAATACAGCACCTCCTGATCGAAGCCAGATGTCCTTGAAATTAGCCTTATCATACTACGGCATGACAAGTTCTGGAAGGAGGACTCTTCATACCATCCATTGATTCAGGGCATAGCTGGTGGAATTATAGCTCTTCTGACAGTATGGTCAGTGTGCACTGTTATTCTAACAACAGGGCACGGACTCATCTAAAGATTTAGTCCGTTCTCTGTAATTGAACTCAGATCAAATTGTGTAAGATGCTCTAGTGGATTTTGAGAGATCAGAACACCACCCCTGGGCTATTACCAAGCTGTCCCAACTCCAACAACCATAATGGGACCAATGAATTTCAAATTCCTTTAGATGGCATAAAAGCTGCCTCCATTGAAACACACTGTGTATGACATCTGTCTTCCCTAATCCAAACCCTCCTTTTGAAACTTTCCAACCCTGGCAAGTTGCAGTCCCAGATTCTAAAAGAAAAGTGGTGAAAAAGCCAGCAAGCCCAAAAGCCCATTAAAAAAAATGAATAGTATCATCTCCAACAATTCAAAGAGTAGTCTCTTTTAGAACTTTCCATTTAGGGAAGATATTTAAGTTAAATGGCATTTGATTAAGTGAGATAAAATGAGTGCCTCTAGGATGACATCTTCCTCAAGTTTCAGGGTAGGCGTATCAAGACTGCTTCTTGGGCAGAACAGACCACAAAACAATCTGTCGCTGTGAAATGTAATCACAGCAGAATATAACATCAGCCAGTGCTCAGAGTACACGGAGGTATATTTAATATCCCCCAATCAGCAATCAACCACTGGTGCATTCATTCATAATCAGAAGACATGGTTTCATTTTAACAGCCTGTTTTTCCCAGCGCATAATACTTGGTCACTTTAGGATATATAACAGTCCATCCTAAAAGTTAAGTGGAAGGCAAGGTCCTTCAAATTTTGTTTCCCAATTGGCCTTTATGTAATTGTGTAATTTCAAGGGCAAGAACTCCATCATAAAATGCAATCCCTTACCTGTTGCAGTCCACATGAAGCAGAAGATGGGAGGCGCTAATCGACAAAGCAATTTTGTGCCACTGGCCGTCTGCCATCCGGTAAGGAAAAGCTTCCGTCCTCGATTTTCCATTAAATCTATAGTGATATCTGATTTCATCTCTCAAGCCACTGCTCTCCAGTTCAAAATAGCTGTATCGAAAGCAGAAAGAGTCCATTTCAGTTGGCAACAGGACATCATCACCCTCATTTCCCTCTGGGCACTACCTGGTTTCAATGGCTTCTGAGCTCACAGTTAACTCAGCCTCACACAGAGGGCCATAACCTAAAATCAATGGTGCAGCATGGAAGGCAGCTCACTTACTATATCAGAGCCCACATAGTGAATACCTTCAGAGAGGGAATGAAGATCAATTGACCTACTGCAAGGTAACAGGCACAAGGTAATTAGTGGAGCTTGGTGCACTGTCTTTTAAACACTTAAAAGTGCAGTTCAAATCCCTTCTTCCATTGTCTCTGGGAAGCCATCCAAGGAGAAGAGATTTACTGACGTTTATTTTTAGACCTGTCATATTTGTCAACGTTAAAGCAAAAGAAAAGTGGCCTTGGACATCAAGGCCTGGAAGACATTGGCAGGGTGAAGTCCAGTGATTTTTAAAAATTTCTTCTCCTTTGAACATAATGATAACAGGACAGCAATTCCTCGATAATTAGGAGAGGAAAATGAGAGTTTGTTCACACTTAAATCAGTTGTTAAGTATACAAGGCCATAAAACTCCTATGTCTGAGTTTCATTCTCTACCCTCTTAAGGCAGCTAGGTGACACAGATGATATAGTGATGGGTCTGAAATGAGGAGAACCTGAATTCTGATCTACTAGCTATACGACTCTAGGTAAGTCACTTAACCTGTGCCTGCTTCCCCTTCCTTAACTCTAAATGGGATTAATAATAGCACCTACCTCCCTGGGTTATTGTGAGAATCAAATGAGATAATATTTGTATAGCACCTTGAAAGTAGTGGACAATAAATGCTTGCACTCTGGTTTCAGATTTTTAGGGAGAATTTTTCAAACTCCTGGAAAATATCAGCTTAATTGCTATGGTCAAAAATTTGGCCAATGCTCTATCTAATCTTTTCTTCCTACCTCTTACCCCTTATATTCCAGGAGGTAATATCTCTTTCCTTCTACTCTTGCGTAAGAGATATACATAGTATCTTCTATGCCTTCTATACAGCCTGGCCTCTCTCATGGAGCAAGCCTATGTTCCAGCCTAACTGCCAATCAGCTGCTTTTCCACATAAGACATTCCTTTCCCCCACCCCCATGCTGTTGTACAAGTGCTTCTCCCACTCATGGAATGCCCTCCCTCTTCAATTACACTTTAACCCAAGATTACTTCAAAGCACAGCTTAGATGCACCAGGCCTCTCCTGATTTCCCTAGTTAGTTCATTTTTCTTTCTCTCCTTCCTGCCTTTCATCTCTCTCTCCCCCTCTCCCTCTCCCTTAACCCCCATATATTCATTCTCATTCTCTCTCTCTCTCTCTCTCTCTCTCTCTCTCTCTCTCTCTCTCTCTCTCTCTCTCTCTCTCTCTCTCTCTCTCTCTCTCTCTCTCTCTCTCTCATTTCCCTCCCCATCTGTCTAGGTCTTTCTCAACTACTTTATTGCTTCATATTTACTTCTGCAAATGTTGTAGTAGAATACAAATTCCTTGACAGCAAGGATTGCTTTGCTTTTTCAACAATCAACAAGTAGTTATATGTGCCTAGTATGGGCCAAGCACTGTGCCACACATTGAAAATACAAAGACAATAAAGCAGTCCCTGCCATCAAGTACAGCATATTGGGATGAGAAGGTTACAAAATGTTCATAGACATATAAATACAGCTTTGTAACCCTGGGGCAAATTAGTTAACCTCTCAGTGCATTAGACAAACCTCTAAGACTATAGGTTGCGAAGAAGGTGCCAACATGCATAGACAGAGAAAGTTCCTCCCAGGCATCTCCCTATGCCAATAAAATCACAAGTTGAATCCATGTTACATGCAAAATAAAAGGATATTCATTTGGTGCTGGCAGTAGTTCCTAAGGAATTAGATAAGACCTCTGAAAAGAGGTTTATTTAAACTGAACCTTGAAGTAAGCTGGGATTCTGAGAAGTAAAGGTGAAGACAGATTATTCTAGGTGTGAAGAATAGCTTGTACAAAGCTGTGGAAACAGGAAAAGGAAGATTTAACACGGGGAACCAGAAATAGACCTGTTTGCCTGGAGTACAAGAGTATATGATGGGGAGGAATACTTAATCAGATCGGAAAGGTGATGGGAAACATGATGATGAAAGCAAACAAATGAGTTCGTGTTTTATCCTAAAAGCAACAGGGAGACTCGGGAATTTCTTAATCAAGGGATCGGCATAATCAGACCCATATCCTTTAAGAGTGTCAGTTGGGAAGCTGTGTGGACAGTGGACCAGAGAAAGGAAAGACTGCATTCAGAAAGACCAATTAATAGGATATAGAAATGGCCCAAGGAAATAATGAAGATCTGAACTAGGGTGGCTATAGCATGAATAGTGAGAGTCCATGAATGGAGAAGAGGTAATGGATACTAGGGGTGTGGAGGATGCAGAATTGACAGAACTTGAAAACTGCTTAGATATGGTATATGAGAGAGTATAATATGAAGGATGAACCCTAGGTTACAAACTAGGGTTTTTTCTTTGTATTTGCAGCATCTAGCAGCTTCTTATTTATGAAAGATACAATAAATGCTTAATGGATTGATTTAAAGTTATCCAGAAAGAGTCATTGTGCCAAATTAAAATCCTAGAAATGAGACTTACTCCTAACAACATAGACTGCAGAGGTATATCACCTGGCTAGGAATGCTAACATTAAACCCTAGACTCTGAAGAGATGGTTCTTTTCTCTAATCCACTTAGCCAGCCTGACCCTCCTAACCAACATGTATTTAATTTAATAGCAAAGTGCATCAGATACAAGGACTGAAATGAATATATCATGAAGTTAAGCCTCTATTATGCATGACTTCCCAATCTCATGTCAAAGAACAAATGCATATTTCACTCTTCTGTCCCAGATGATAATCCCAAGGAGGAATGCTTAAGAAAAAGAATAAAGAACAGCTCCCAACCCACTTCAGTGATGCCAATACTAAGAAACAGATGGGAAAACACAGCATGAAGAAATTAATATGATTTAGCAACTGGTTTTCAGATGCAGGCACACCTATGTTAACACAAACATTAAAAGGCCATGGGAAAATAAATCCCGTAATGTTTACATTTTCCTGGTTTCTTGAAGCCAGTATAGTTATGTGTTCTTTAATAAACAAACTAACTTACAAATTATTAAAGAATAAACAAACTAAGTTACAAATGTATTTCTTTCTTTAAGCTAAACAGGCCACTGGGTACATCCTGGTCATAGAGAGAGAAAGAGATTGTCTACAATGACTTGTGTCTCTTCTTCCCCTGGAACTTTGGAAGAAATGAGGAATCATTTAGTAACTATTGAGGACTTGTGAGGAATATAGGAATGTCACAGAATCATGTCAAAGTCAGAAGAGACCTCAGCAATCATCCAGTCCAACCCATACCTGAAAGAGAATTCCCTTTACAAAGTGCCCTGTTGGGTCATCTTAACTCTTAAATACAAAATTCCATTGAGGGGAAATATCAGCTCCTGAGGAACCCATTCCTCTTTGGGAAAACTCTAACTGCTAGAAAGTTGCTCCTTCCTTCAAGCCTAAATTTGTCCTTTTGTAACTTTCACCCATTGGTCCTTGAGTCAAATAATACAAGCCTAATATCTCTTGCAAATACTTTTAGACAATTATCATGTCCTCTCTTTGTTAGCCTCAACAGCCAAGTTTCCTTTCCACAATCTTCAAATAGCATGATCTATAAACAAACAAACAAATGAATAAATAGACAAACAAACAAATAAACAAATAAATGAAATGGCATGGCCTAAAAATAAATAAATAAATGAACAAATAAATAAATGAACAAATGAACAAATAAATAAATGAATGAATGAATGAGCAAATGAGCCAATAAATAAATAAATGGATGAGTGAATGAAAAAAAACAGCATGATCTAAAAGCAATTTGCCACCCTGGTTCCTCTCCTCTGGACCTTGTCCAAACTTATCATGGTGCCCAGAACTAAACACAGTGTTCTAGATGTGGTCTGAAAAGGGCAGCATACAGTAGGCCTACCTATTATTATCTTTTATATGTGATGTGGTCCTGACCTCTTTAAGGAGGGGAGAGATACCTAGTATTAATATTCTGATGCCAAGGATTCAAGGGAAATGGCAGGACAATATCCACCAGAGGAGTTTTGTAAAATCAAGTGAATGTGGTAGAATCACTGCTTAAAATGCACCCACCGCCTCCTCTTCTCCTCGTCCAGGAGCCATAATCCAATCCATTGATGCCACACAGTATATCCAGTCATCTCTATAGGGGACAATAACTCTAAACCAAGTAAAGGGTGCAAAGCCATAGATGAGTTCCTCTTCCATCACACCAGAGAACCAAGTCGATTAATTTTCTAAACACTGTCAAATAGGGACTAGATATCATCGCTCTTACCATGAAAAGGTCAAAGAATTCCAAAGTCAAAGAAAATTCTAATTTAGCAGACTATTAGAAATTAAAACACAAAAGTCCCATTTCCTATTCTGAGAATGATCACTTAAAATGCTTTCATAGAAATGATTACCATTTCCCTCAAAATCATATTCATTGCTGAATCATTCCTAAGGAAAACAATTCCTTAATAAAATTCTATTCACCCTCTATTCCATATGCATGCAAATACATGTTTCTGGATGAAAAGCCTTTGTCCCAAAAAGCTCTGCATATACAGTATCTATTTACAATCAAAAGACAATCTCCCAGAATAACATCACCCTGGACAGCAATTGCTAACATGTGCAAGCAAGTAGTAAGGTCGCAAAAAGACTGATTTGGTCAGCAAGACCATGCTCTTCCATTAATACATATCACTATCACTTGAAATTTCCAAGGACAAAAGGAAGGCTAGCCACCTTCAGGGTTCTTTTGGCATTAAAACCTGTATTGCCTAAGATGTCTAAACACAAAAGAATGAAATGTTGGTAATAAGAGACATAAATGCATGGAAGTGAATTGGCTC